ACACTTAAAAAGTCATGAATATTCATATAAAACCGAGAGTATTAATTATTCACCCACGCTGTGAAAACAAAGGCGAATTAACGTGATACACTGGGGCCTAGAAAAAAGGGAAAATTGCCCTATGAAGGCGACTCAAGGAGCTGTCACTGTGGCTTCCTTGATCTTATGCCAGCGGTAAACGTGTGACATGACATTTCGTGGTAATATTTGGGTTTGATCAGACGGTTAACACGATGTCTCGGAGTTAAACATTTATAGGAACTATCACGTGATTGGCACCGTTATTTTTTCTTTTTTTCTCTCTTTACTCATGCTCTACCGCTCTATGTTACTCTGTCTCTCTCTCTCTCTCTCTTCTCTCTCTTTTTTCTTTTCTCTTTCTCTTTCTTTCTCTCTCTCTCTCTCGAGTTAGCAGTCACAAACTCACACACACACACACACACACACACACACACACACACACACACACACACACACACACACAAACATATATATATATATATATATATATATATATATATTATACATATCTGTGTGTGTGTGTGTGGTGTGTGTGTGTGTGTGTGTGTGTGTGTGTGTGTGTGTGTGTGTGTGTGTGTGTGTGTGTGTGTGTGTGTGTGTGTCAGTGAGTGAGTGAGTGAGTGAGTGTGGTGTGTGTGTGTGTGTGTGTGTGTGTGTGTGTGTGTGTGTGTGTGTGTGTGTGAGTGAGTGAGTGAGTGAGTGAGTGAGTGAGTGAGTGAGTGAGTGAGTGTCTGTGTGTGTGTGCGTGTGTGCGATACATAGGAGCATTTTGCAACATAACAAGTCAAATTTAAGAACAATGAAGTACAGAGGCGTAAAAAAGTGATAAAAGCAAAGGAAAAGGTAATATAAAACATTCAAATAAGATCAATGTCCAGCAACTGATGAAAAATATGTGAATACAACCACTTAAAATATTAATGAAAAGTGAATCACATGGCTAGTTATGTGCACTACATAATAAATTTCTAATATACAAACAGAACTTACGTGATCATGTGACATATTCATCATCCTTTTTGCATTAGAATTAGTAAGCAGACTTTCTGAGACAGAAACAAGCCAAATACACCTTTATGACTATTACTCTCTAGAGTCAAAAGTCATTTGCGCACGATGGCGTACCTTAGGAAATTGAATAGTTTGCGGAGGCGGTCGAAGGCGGGTGTAAACAGTGCGGCGGAGAGCTCCTGTTTACTCGAGTTTTTCTAGCTCTTCAAAGGACCCAGCAGTTCAGAGGAGGTAAAGAGAGGTACGTCAATATGTGTATCAGTGACTTAGATCAAATATCCGAAAATTGAGGAGTTAGATTCATGTTGTGACCATAATTAGAAAGTTATAATCGTCAAGTTTTTTTCCTTTCCTTCGAGCTCATGTTCCCAGTTCGCGCATGCGCACAAGGGCTCTAGCATACTATAAGGGCGAAGTTTGCGAAGTATTTCCCGTATACTCTTACCCCCCTCTTCCCCCTCTATGCCCACCAGCTGATGGGAACCCGTTATGCCGGAATGCGTCGAAAATGGCATTTTGTTTTTATTTTACAAGATCCATTTAATGGTCCGTGGCTTTGATATAGACATATGCAAAATACTTAAACGCTGAGGCAGAAACTAAGGAAGACAGTTCAGGCGACGACGCACAAGGTACTGAACAACCTGAACTGAAATAAGTGTTCTTCGCGCCCCAGAAAGGTGCCCCGACCTGCAACTTCTGCATTGCAAGACTCACACAGCCTACCAGCCCCCCGTACTTTTGGATATTATTGATACTGCAATCCTGAATCACCACTTATCCAATCACCGCGGGGAGATGTCCGTGTCCTCATCAACCCTCCGGAATAGAACAGAACAGTAGTTGAACCGTATTCATGTTGACAAATATAGAGAGGCATGAATGAGAATGAATATCTTCACACTACAAGAGATGTATTTGACCGGCTTCGAATATTCCTTCGTCAGAAATACAGAAATACATGTATTCCCGACTAAGATGTATTCGAAACCGATCAAATACATCTGTTGTATTGTCTAGATATTCCTCCTCATTCATACCTCTCTACAGAACAGTAATTGCCTCAACAACAAAGCCAAGAACCCGGGGCGAAGGTCCTCCATTCCGCGATCGCCGATGAGAAGCGAGGAAACAGCGCTCCCCTCGCGCGGCCTGCCAAGCATGACCCCGCCAGGTAGTCCTCAGCTGGATCCTCGAGCTCACCAAACCAGCCCGAACGTCGCCCTTAGCCTAGACGAAGCCACGCCCAGACGCCCACCCATCGCCAGAGCCTCTGACTACATCTCTGAGGAGGAAGGGCACCGCCAGAGACGAGGAGCACGTCGCCCAAAGGACACGGAAGGACACACAGGTCTCTACAATGAAGGAGAAACTACAGCCATTCTACCATCCTGCGGCCACCCACCTTGATCCACCGTAGGACTCAAAACTCCTCGAGCTGTGCGTGACGTCACCCTATCTATGTCCA